ACCGAGGTTACCACGGCTAGTTGAGTTAATGTTAGCCATTGTTGGTCCTGGATTGGGATGAATGTCTCCACACATCAACAAATGCGAGGACAAAACAGTAGGATTGAAAGTAGTTTGGCAGTTTGAGTAATAGTGAATTCTACGATTCAAATATTTACTTTGGATAAAAACAACAAAGCGTTTCCGATTGTTTATGATACAATGCCAATCCCTCATAGTCCCGTAAAAGTCCTTCGGTAACGGTTCTTCGCAAGAATCATCGATTATTGGACCCACTTCCACAGACACAGTCAACAGGTAAACAAGAATAATGTTCATGTATATATATACTGTATATATATATATATATATACAGTATATATATATATAAGTGCCACACACTATAAAGTGCCACACATACATATAAAGTGCCACACATATATAGCTCGTATTTAAACATTCAACTACAAAAATAGCGATGACATACGCTATCAATTATTCACATGGATAATACTAAAATTGTTGTTTAATTATTAATGTTATTACTGATTACTGTAAAAACATAATGTCCAACTGCGCATCGTATTACAAGTATGTCAGCAAGGTAAATGAACTAACTGTTCGCAACATGTAAAGCACAACATGTATTCTATGCCCCTGGGTCCTGTTAGATCTTTTACAAACAAAATGCTTTCCTTAGCTCAATCCTTATCATAAAGGGCTTTTCAATGTCCGATTATAAAAATAAACGACTCTTTCATATATTTCCCTAAATTCATCTTGGGAGCAATGATTGTGTTTCCACTTTAATATGGAGTCCTTTGCGAGACGCCTGTTTCGCATGAGCCAGCAGAATGAAACCCGCAATCTCAAAAGTATGCATGCGCTTTGACGACCGCGCGCCAACTGAACAGCAAAGCCAGTATTTGATAATCAATACTCATTCAATCAAAGTGTTGAAGGCCGATTTATGCCTTGTGTGTTAATAGCCAGGGTATGAAAAATGAAATAACTTGGGATTAAAATCTCGTATAGTTTGAAAAGCTAGTTTAATATGGGCGTGCGGGTTCATATTTCTTGAACATTGTCATTTACTTTTCTTATTTTTTGTCCATATACCTTCTCGATCCTATATATACTTCGCGTTGTTATGTAGAATTTACGATTTTTTACAGATCTTCAATGATAATCACTTTGGCGAGTTTCGGTCATTACCGAATTTTCTATAGCCTTAACGGGGATAAGAACGTCAACTAATATAATCATTTTGCTGTTGTCAGTGTTCCTTCTGTTGATAAAGTCAGATAAAGTCACTGTTTCCTTTGTCCTCAGTCTGATAAAGATAAAATATTCATTACAATCACATTGTCATTGAAAATTAAAAATAGAATTACTTTAAAAAAAAGAAGATGAAAAATTGTTACTGGGTACAGTCAAACAAAACAGTTGCTATCTTAAGGAAGCATGAATTAATGGCCATGTCATGTATACTAACTTTGATATCCATCTTTTGCACTGTTTCCGACATAAAACGACAAACTGTGTACATATTAATAATATACTGAGTGTCTTTCCACTGTAACAATGCAAACAAACTCTTGGTCCAACCAATCGGAATCACAAAAGCTGTATGCCAATGCCAGGTGGCAGCATTTGCATAAACACACTTAGGAAGGCGGAGAAATGTTGAATTGTTGATCTTCATAGATTGAAAAGAACCCGTTCCGGCTCAGCGATGCTATCTTAGTGTAATAAATATTATATCAAGATCGTCGCGTATAATGTCATCTGGAAAACCTGTTAAATGAAAGCTCAGAAAACTAAGATGTTACCACAGCAAGACAAACCTTTAAGCGAATTCAGAACAAAGAAGTTCTGGTCTAGTATTATCGCCGAGTATCTAGGCACTGGCTTTTTGGTCTATGTGGCTACATCTGTTTGCGATGTGTCTGACTCGAATCAACCACGTAATAATAAAGCGAGCAGTAATCTAGAGTGCTCGCTGGCTTATGGTCTTGGGGTTGCTACTTTGGTACATTGGACTGAAGGCTTGCTGAATCCTGCGTTGACAGTCGCTTTTACATCGACTGGCAAACTGTCCTTGACTAAAGGTGTTTTGGTAATCATTGTGGAAATCCTTGGAGGTAATCACTTTTCTATGCTTTGTTATTGTTTTGAAATATTTACGGTTGCGTGGGAATATTTTGATTGATTTTAGATCTTGCTCAATGTTGCCAATTTCGTAGCAACATTGCCAGTTGACATGCATGTGTATAGTCCCGCATAAAAACATTTACCTAAGGCTAAACCGAAATTTGTCCCGAGCAACCGGACTATTTTAATTTAGTCGGTTCTTGGTTAATGTTATCAAGATGAAACGTCATTGCACATAGCAACATTGCAACTGATAATACATTCATAATCGTTAAAACATTTAGCTAAAGCAGAAACGCTCTAAGGCTACAGCTGTATGTTTTCGCTGAATATTTTGCCCGATTTTGGATTTTGCTCGATGTTATATGATGAAACGTCATTTCGTAGCAACATAAAAACTGACAATGCACTCATAATTCAACTAAACCAGAATAAATAGCTTTGTGTCCGGGATATTTTGTTTAACTTCGGATTTTGCTCAATGTTAATACAGGATGCAGCGTCATCTCGCGACATTAGCAATTGACAATATAAACATTTGTGACCATTAAAAAACATTTACCTTGAACCAAAAACTACCCGATCAATGCCTGCGTGACTAGATTAAGTCGCTTAGCCTTAAGAGTTAAGTTAAGCGATAACGTGATGAACTGTTTGGACATTTAATAATGCGCCAACTGCTACCAAGGTTAATTATTTAAGTGCGATGTTAAAAAAAATACACGCTTGACGTGCATGGGGGGGAATATGCATGTGACAATGTTTGTTCCCCTGCCTGCGCTCCTGATGAGACTAGTGTTCTTAGGGGCTGATTACTTGGAGAGTTTTCAGCCCGGACTGAGTTTCATCCCGGTTTCCCGGGCTGAAATTTCAGCCCGGCCTAAGGATAAAATCCCATTAAAACACAGCAAGCGATTACGTGACAGAAATTTCAGCCCATGTAATCGGCCCCTAACCCAGTTATGGGCAAGGCTCTCCCTTTGACGAGTAAAATCGTCCGGCATTAGACGGAGTAAAATAATATTAGAGTACATTGCAGCTTTAATACATTAATTGGCAGTTGGTGTGGTTATCATGAACTCATTTATACATCAGGCTCTCCCCTTGACGAGCAAAATCGTCTGGCGTTAGACAGAGTAAAATAATAAAGTCGGGCGCATTGCAGCTTGATGGGTTAATTAAATAAAGTTTATCATCACCATTTTAATACAGTACGACAAACATTTTGTTTTTAGTATGTGCGAGATATAATTTGCTTTCGTTGTATAATTATAAACTAATGTCACTCGGCGTGTTTCCGTCAGCGAATTAAGTTATGCATCGTGCATAAATTATACAATAAGCTAATTACGTATTCAGTTTATTCTGCCCGGCAAAGCAAGACAACCGGTTTACTAATTTCTCATCCAATTTCCATCCAAATTTAACCAAAATTTAATAATAATACGTTTGCTAGGTTTTTCAGTTGAAGTGCTGACAGACACCAATGTTTGGGGCGTTACTCTGAGTGTGCATCCACACCGGGACCACGGTGGGAATCGAACCCGTGCCCTTTGGGATAATAGTCCAATGTTCTACCAACTGAGCTACGAGGTCAAGTCCGTTCGAGTTGGTGATATTTCCAACTTAGCTAAGTTGGTAGAGCATTGGACTAGTATACCCCAAAGGTCGCGGGTTCGATTCCCACCGTCGTCAGGCAAACTTTTCAGCTTGCCCGGTATGGATAGTGGATCCACACTCAGAGTAACATCATATTCACTTGAGTATACACAACACCAAATACACACAAAAATAATTTTATTATAATTCGCTTTCTCTTTGTGAAAAAGCAACAACAAAAAACTAAACCCAAACGTGTCAAACAAGACACAAAAAAACTAAACACAAACAAGACTATTTTAGGAAGTCTTTTTTCAATAGAACAGCTGAACATTGGAATAGCTTACCTTCCAATTTGAAGGCTTGTGATTCATTTGCTTTATTTAAGACCAAACTAACTCATTTATACCTTGCTAAATTAGCCTTTCTCACGAAGTTCTAAATCCGCCATTTTTGGGTACTATTTTTAATATAAACAACGTGAAAAATGTAAGCGATGTGAACATAATTTTTCAAATATTTAACTGTAAATCGATTTATAATGATTATACTTACAACTATAGCTATAGAAAGTTTCATTTTCACTGCTTGCTATCCCTGTTCCTGGCTAATTGAATTCCTATAGTTTATACCTGGTTGGTATAGTCTTGCATGTATACTTTGCATTGTATTGTATTGTATTGTATTGTATTGTATTGTATTGTATTGTATTGTATTGTATTGTTGTACGAGATAGGATGGCAATTGGGACACCAGTCCTGTACTATCCAACCCCTGCTAGTTAGAGTCTTTTGTAATTCGTAATTATTGTTTGTATGCATGCAGGTATGTACGTTATTGGCAAATTTAATAAATTCAAACTCCAGGTATTTCAGGATCGGCTTTGACGTATGCTCTGACACCGTCACCTTTGAGGCACTCTCTTGGTGATACCGTACTTCATGAAGATATGAGCACCATCCAAGGACTTTTTGTTGAATTTATTCTCACGTTGATCTTAACGTTGACCGTGTATGCCGCCAGAGACCCCGGACGCAAGTGTGAGGGTTACCATGCGTCACTTGCTTATGGATTTGCCGTGGTGATGTGCTACATTGTTGGGGTGAGTGTCTTTAATGTAAGTGCACTCCCTTGGTGCATTCCCCCCTTCCTCCAATTTAATGCTGCTAAGTTATCTATTGCCATGTAAGTCCTTTCTTATGAAGACATGCATAATTCAATTTTTGAAGGTCAGACTAGTAATGCTAATGTTCCTCATGTTCAGCCAATGGCACTGACTTTTTGTCTTACATTTATAACAATTAAAATGCAGGAAGTCGTGTTTCAGAGACCCAAGAATCGGAAACTTTTCTGGCGGTGCATGTCCCCACATACTGTTATAATTTTCGGACTACAGCACCGACTATCAGGATTAATATGAAAAGGTGTGTGGATAAATGGTGCAATTGGTCGAATTACCACGTATATGCACTGCCCCATTTGCAATGCCAAGATCGTAGAATTTGAAACAGGACTGCACCTAGGTATTAATTTAACACAGTTCATTCATATATGTATTTCTTTTTGTTGTAGTATAAATACACATCTTGTGGTATCAATCCGGCGCGATCATTTGGACCAGCAGTTGTTCGAGAAATGTCTGGACTTGGGAAACCAAAATCAGAATGGCAACATCATTGGGTATATTAATGTTTTAATTATACATACTTAAAAACCTTTCCTCATGGCGCTGTTTGTTTGAAAATCTGTATCCTATAGGTTAACAACAGCTTTAAGCAATCTTCCCAATAGCTTATAACCATGGAAATAGTGTTCCAGAAATCATGTCTAAAGGCCATGTTACATGTACACGGTGCAATTTTTCTTGCAACTTGCAATGCAATTCTACTCTTGAGAGATGTTAATTAGTGAAATCAGTGAAGAATTTTCGATATGTTGAGAAAACATCAGCGGAGTGTAATGAAGACTCGTATTTGGCAATTTCACATCTCTCAAGAGTAGAATTGCATTGCAAGTTGCAAGAAAAATTGCACCGTGTAACATGGCCTTAAATCACTGGCAATTTTATTTTAGCTCAGTTGGTTAGAGCGCTACGTACACCAGAATCCCAGGGCGGTAGGTTCGATTCCTGCCTGAGGGCCTATAACATTCACACTCGTAATTTCCATCTACAAAATAGAGACCTTTAGATTGACGTTTACGGCAAACGTCAAACCGCTAGCGAGGTTTTTGATTTTACAACTCTATTATAATAATTTTACACCAGTTTTGAAATATGTTAAACTTATTAAACTTGTGCTCTTTAGCAATGATTTAAGAAAGCAAAATTAACCACTAGTCATGCTATTCACCAAAGCAGTAAATTAAGATTTGGCGTTTGAAGTTGACGTTTGGCGTATAAATTTCATGCTTTAACGACTACAAGCCCTCGTAGCAGTTCAAGCATGAAATTTATACGCCAAACGTGAACTTCAAACGCCAAATCTTAATTTACTGCTGTGGTAGATAGCATGACTAGTGGTTAATTTGTTTTTATAAATCATTGTTAAAGAGCACAAGTTTAATAAGTTAACATATTTCAAAACTGCTGTAAAAGCTATTATAATAGAGTTGTAAAATTAAAAACCTCGCTAGCGGTTTGATGTTTGCCGTAAACGTCAATCTAAAGGTCTCTATTACTTCAACTTTCATCCTATATGTTTATTTATACTTTATTTTTGAAATATTTTCCAGATCTATTGGATTGGTCCAATAGGAGGATCTTTGCTTGGTGGACTCATTTATCATTTCTTATATTCCCAGCCAAGCTTTGAATATGACACATACAAAGCAACCTACACCCGGACTGATTATCGCGAAAGAGAATCCGAAACCAACTTATAGCAATGAATGAGATAACATTGCCAATTTACCATTAAGTGTGGTTATTACAGACGATATGTCGAAGATGATATCCTAGCTGTTATTAATCTAGTAGCATTCTGTTGTGAAATTAGGCGTCATTCTGTAGCTGGATTGTAGCTGGATACATAGAAAATGAGGACTGATAAAGTTGATTCACTGAATTGGTTAATATTTATGATGGTTGGTGACCTCAAATTAGGAAAAATTGTCATGAGAAGACAGAATAATTCGGATACGAAGACTTTTTAGTTTCTGGCGTCATGGATTCTCACAAATGGATTCTTCGATTTCTGGCGTCATGGATTCTTAGAAGTGTGGAGTCTTTTTCCGAAATATGGTCGAGTTCCGATTGTGATAACACGTAAAGCTGATTTCGAATTAATTAACTGCATGACTATTGATCATTGAATGTGGTGTAGTTTACAGCCTGAAATCCAGGAAACTTAACGTGAAAAAGAAATACGAATATTATGGTGTGGAAACAAGAACTTGTGATGATCGATGGAGTGTTTGAAGCAATTCAAGTTCCTTTTTTCAAGGAAAAAGTGAAATGAAAGCAGAAGTTTATTTATTATGTAAAATAACCAAAAAGAGAATCTGTGTGGAAAAGCAGGAGAAAACTAATATTCACACATGCAGTCAAACATCCAGTTTTGAAGACAGAAGGAGAACACGTCTACCTATGGCTATATGGAGATGCGATGATAGAAATTAATAATGTTTGCCTCTATTGAATTTTATGTGAAAATAAGCAGTGTGATAAAAAAGATTAGAAAAAGGGAGGCTTCCCCCCATATAGCTCTGTGACACAGGCTACTTTCCCCATAAATGAAAACAAAACTGTAACAACAAATTAATAAACTCTTGCGGCAGCCAGGGAGTTCCCTCCACTATACACTCCTGAATCTTAAGGCTGAGAAGATATCGGTGACCATATACGTACTATTCTGCATGTTTAGTTTATTTTTTCGGTCTATTTTATATTGGAACGCAATAAGTACGTATAGCGCTTTTATTATCACAAATTATTTGTTGCAATTTAAATGAGGCGAGGGGAAAATATGCTAATTTTGCTTGTGACAAGTGAAGTAATTCTTGTGGCTGAGAAGATATATTGGTCGCCATATACTACTCTTGCATGTTTAGTTTATTTTTTCGGTCTATTTTATATTGGAATCCAATAACGTATACGCGCTTTTATTATCACAAATTATTTGTTGCAATTTAAATGAGGCGAGGAAAAAATATGCTAATGTTGCTTGTGGCAAGTGAAGTAATTCTTGTGGCCATTATCATTTTAATTAATCAAACATGCAAATCGGACGTCATTTATTGATTTAACATACAAAATTTCAAATATGAAACAGCTGCTCGGTTACGCATACACGCGCATACGTTTGCAAAAATTATTTGTATTGTCTCAATAATGAAAAGTCTCAAATACTGCACCTTTCTTTTATATTGCAAGCAAAAAGCAATTTTAAATGTAAACTTTCATTAATATAAACACGGCTTGTAATTTTCTAGTACCTAAATTAATGTAACTATAAATTGATTCATTTGTTTACGAAGTATTTTAATAAAGCTATCTCATTGAGTTTCATTTCTTTGTCTGACTATAGTAAACACTACGCCAGGCAAGGCCAAGGGTAATAGTTTTTTTCGACTCGAACTTCTTTTAAAGAAATCTTCGTTTGGGTTCGTCAACATCACGCACATACAGTCCCTTAGTGCGTGCAGGTTGTACCTTAATTGCTGCGTGTTATAGCCTACCTTCGGCTGCGTGTTATATTATCATGTTTCGTGCAAACTTGAGTTCGGGATAGGC